CAACCTCATCTTACATATGGGTTCTTAAAAATCTTCTTGCAACTACTTATACTAAACAACAAATTTAACCTTACTTCATCACAATTATCATATCTATTAGAAGGAATCGATCTTGAATAATATTCAAAACAGATATCGATTTGAGCCTTTTAAATTTAGAAAATTTCATCTATTAAAACCGATTTAAGAAGATCAACTATGTCTGAAAAAACATGAACTGCCGACGATGATCCGATAGTAAATGGTAAATTTTCCAAATAGTCATAATATTCAGCTTTTTGAAGCTCGGAAGATAACATATTTTGTATCCCATTAAAACAATTCATTAGTGTTAAGTGTGAATTAACATATTTATATATAATGCCATTAATAGATTCTACTCATTGAGTAGAAGACATTTCGGCATTAAATTCCTAAAAAAGGGCATTATATGTCAATTGAAACTCAATTTAATTCTAGCTTAACATGACTATAGGTTTAATTTTAATTATCTGAAAGGTATAGCACTTAGCCCATTTTTCTTTAATTGGATATAAAGTATTCCTCAAATACGATGAAGCTTTGGGAAATTTAATGCATAATGAATTGAATTGTGACTCAAAAATCTCTTCAAATAAGATATTACGACATATAAAGAAATCAGTTTGAAATGCTATAAATTGGGATCCAAGTAAACGCAATAAATGTTTTTTTATGTTTTGAACTACATGGAAAATGCAGTGTAAGTGTCGAGTAGTTGGGAGTATAGTTTCAATTGCTAGACCTAATCCAGTATCGCAATCGGAATATATCGTTGTAGGTGGTAAATTATTTGTAGCTGCAAGAAGATTTTTAAGAACCCATATGTAAGATGAGGTTGTTTCATCAGACATTAGTGCTTGACCTATTAATCTTGAACGACAATGCTGATCAACACCAACAAATAAACATAATGCCATCCGGTATTTATTGGTTCGCGCAGTATTATCTGTCAGAATGACATTGTGATACTTTAAATATAGGTTTTGTTGGTGGGAGGTCATCCAAAATAAATGAAAGAGACGATTTTTAATACAATGATATGATATAAACCATGTAGGATCGTTCTCTTTCATTTTTTGTAGTTCCTTTAGAAGGTTCGAAGCATCATTTTTAGGGTCTTGTATATCACATCTTTGAAATTGTTGAATGGCATTTGCCAAATCTTTGTCCAAAAACAATTATTTCTTGAATTCACCACTAAAAAGCTGCCTTAATGTATGCTGATTAATGTCATGAATTGTATTTACATAAAATTTGATCTTGTCCATCACATTCTAAGGAAGCTGTCTATAAACATTAGCAAAATGAATAGTGTCAGAACTAGGTATATGACCGTGATGTTTAAGGTTCATTTTAGTTATAGTTGGACTTGGTGTCTTAAGTGGCCAACACATATTAATAAAGCAAGTGCAGCCTGTCTTAATTGATTCTCTGTTACGCTGTTGCAAAGGATCGATAGCTGTTTTTTTTGATTGAAAATTTCTAGCATGTTAGCATTTAAAAACATACTTATACACGTCGCCATTTTTATTCAATTTTTTGTCTTGAATTCGCCACACAAACCCAGTTCGTTGCCCATATGCCAATAAAACCAAATACGCATGGTTCCAGTGCTTAAATGTCATTCCATCACATAATCGGGATGCTTGTTCAAAGGCAGCATCAGGTATTGAGAGTGTTTCGAGTGACCTTATTTTTGTTATTTCAGCATGTGACTCCTGAACCTCTTCATAACTTTTAGTACGAGACAAACTATCTTTCTGAATACTATCTTCCTGAATACTTTCATAATCATCCTCATCATGACTTCCAATATTAGACAAAATACCTTCTTGAAAATTATTATGAGCTTCATCATAACCTTCAACTTGAAAATTAATATCGCCTTGAACAACATGAAAGGCTTCTTCTCCATAAGTTTCCCCATAAGTTTCAGCATAAGAAAAAACATTTTCTTGAACATCTTGAAAGGCTTCTTCATTGATATAATCATTAAAACTATTAAAACTGTTATCATTGATACTAAACTCATCCATTTTCGTGAAATATTATATATGGAAGCCATTAAATCAAGTTCAAATAAAACAAGGTGAGACAATAGGATAGCTATTAATTCTGACGCAAGTATAAAACAAACCAGCCAAGTAAAATTAACAAAACACGTTTAACATCGCTATAATGCAAAAA